GGTTGATATCGGGGTCGACCAATTTTAACCCAAGGTTCTCTAGAAATTAATGTTATGTCAGACCCAGTAGCAACTTACAGTTTGACCGGTTTGCCATTAAAAAGATGGTCACGTACCTCTTTTTGGAGGAGAACTGGTCACGTTTTATGGCCAGAACAACATTTGAGTTATGTAGCATTACTTTTGAATTCTGTATCTTATTTTCTTTACGGAGAGAGAAGTACGAAATGAAGTTGTAGGAAAGGAATCTCATAAACCTAGGATAATCAAGGCATCATTGAAAACAATGAAGGAGGGAATCACAATTAATGTTCTCGTGTTTCGTAAACCAATCAATGAAAGCAACGACGACGATAAAGATCAGTTTTATGAAAAGGCTGCAATCAATCATAGTGAAGTGTCCAAGACGAAACCTCATCATCCTGATGGGAGATCTTAACGTCAAAGTAGGAGTGGACAACACAGGATATGAAGATATAATTGGACGACATGGACTAGGAGAGAGAAATGAAAATGGTTAGAGATTTGTATATCTATGTGCATTCAACAAATTGGTTATGGGCGGCAAAATATTCCCACACAAGCGCTTACACAACATGGATCTCATCGGACCACTCCACAGAGAACCAGATAGATCATACTTATATCAACAAAAAATTCTGAAAGACAATGGAGGATGTGAGAACTGGGAGAGGGGCAGACATAGCTTCAGATCACCACCTAGTTGTGGCCAAGATGAGACTGAAGCTAAAAAACAGTGGACAAATAGACAAACAGCACTACAATGGTTCTATACAGTCTTCCTTCGAGATACTGACAAGCTCCATGAATTCAAGATAACTCTCAACAACAGGTTCCAGGCTCTACAGGATCTACTGAAAGAACAATAAACTAAGATGGAGGATAACTCGAAAGGGATTAAAGAAGCACTAACTTTAATTTGTCAGGAGGTTCTAGGTCCTAAGAAGCATTATCATGAGGAATGCATCTCTATGGCATCCCTGGAAGAGATTCAAGAAAATATCAAGAAAACAGCAATTAACAACAGTCGAACGCATGCAGAGAAAGTCAAAGCACAAGCAGACTACGCAGAAGCAAACAGGCAAGTGAAGAAAAGCATTGAGGCGGGCAAGCAGGAATACATGGGAGAACTAGCAACGACGGCAGAAAAAGCTGTAAGAGAAGGAAATATGAAACAACTATATGATACAATGAAGAAACTGGCAGGGATATATAGTAAATCGGAGAGACCAGTCAAGGATAAACAAGGAAAGATAATCACGGAGATTGAAGAACAGAGAAAAAGATGGGCAGAATACTTCGAGGAGCTTTTGAATAGACCAGCTCCATTGAATCAACCGAACATCGAAGCAGCCCACACTGACCTTCCAATAGATGTCACTCCACCAACGATCGAGTTGATCAGGATTCACATCAGACAAATCAAGAATGTGAAAGCAGTAGGACCTGACAATATACCAGCTGAATCACTGAAGTCAGAAATTGAAGTAACTGCAGACATACCTCACCTTCTATTCTAGAAGATTTAGGAGGAGGAACAAGTGCCACTGACAGACTGGAAAGAAGGACAACTTATCAAGATACCAAGGAAAGGACATCTAAGTAAATATGATAACTACAGAGGCATCACATTACTCTCAGTACCAGAGCGTTGCTGAGCCGGATGAATGATGCAGTAGACGTCTAACTTCGATATCAACAAGCTGAATTCCTTAAGAATCGATCGTGCACAGACAAATTGTGGCACTACGGATCATCGTCGAACAATCAGTTGAGTGGAACTCAAATGTCATAGTCCGACAAATCCTTCAAAATCACTTAGTAAACCGAGAATTCTCTTGAAATGACAGTTAAAAAGATAGATGGTATAGAAACAATCTAAACTGTTTCGAAATTAGATAGAACATCTATTGATCTGAATGGCGATACTAGTGAAGTTGTGCTAAACACCTTGACGAAAATGTTGTTACAGTTTAACTGAGTGGATAAGTAAAATGAAACCGAATGTAGTTTACAATAAACAAAATGTTTTGATGTGATGAATACACTTTTTCCAATACTTTCTTCTTGTAACCGAGTCCTAGTTCGTATTAGATTTATATCTAATTGAATTCATAGAGAATGATCACTTAAACTGACTCAAGTATTCCAAGTACTAGACATTAAACGACTAGAAATGGTTTAAATAAGATTGGAAAATTCACATTGAGAAACGTCGCTAAATTGTTTTTTTCATACCATAAGCGTCATCATCATTATCATTCATGTGATTGTTACCTAGATCAAGCGAATTGATCATTTTCACCTTAATCGAAACAAATTAACAGATTATCATTGTGTTAGTGTTGTATATATATGGATGCATATATTATCGAAGTGAACAACAGGTAAACTTGAGACATTCTTCTATGCGTAAAGTAGTTGATGACTTTGGTATGTGTTTTTGTAGACTTGTAAGTTATTGATGATGTGATGAACAAATCGGTTGATACTTATTGTATAATATGGTATGTATGTATGTATGTAGGTAGGTAGGTATGTATGTAGGTATGTATAATATGGTATTATATGCAGGAGAAAACGATCAGCGTAGTAGCAACCTCAGCAACAGTAGGTCTCAATATAAACAAAGGGAAAAGCAAGACTCTCCGATACAATACAACATGTACCAATCAAATTACACTTGACGGAGAAGCTTTGGAGAATGTGGAAACCTTTACATATCTGGGCAGCATCATTGATGAACACGGTGGATCAGATGCAGATGTGAGGGCGCGGATCGGCAAAGCAAGAGCAGCATATTTACAACTGAAGAACATCTGCAACTCAAAACAATTGTCAACCAACATCAAGATCAGAATTTTCAAAACAAATGTCAAGACAGTTCTACTGTATGGGGCGGAGACATGGAGAACTACGAAAGCCATGATCCAGAAAATACAAGTGTTTATTAACAGTTGTCTACGCAAGATACTTCGGATCCATCGGTAAGACACTATCAGCAACATTCTGCTGTGGGAGACAGCAAACTAGATTCCATCCAGTGGAGTAAGAAATCAAAAAGAAGTGCTGGAAGTGGATGGGACACACATTGAGGAAATCAGTCAACTGCATCACAGGACAAGCCCTCATATGGAATCCTGAAGGCCAAGGGAAAAGAGGAAGGCCAAAGAACACATTACGTCGAGAAACAGAGACAGACATGAGAAGAATGAAGAAAAGTTGGAAAGAACTAGAAAGGAAGTGGCAGGATAGAGTGGGTTGAAGAATGCTGATCGGCGGCCTATGCTCCATTGGGAGTAACAGGCGTAGGTAAGTAATTAAATGGTTCATTTTAGTTTTATGTATTAGTAGTGTACAGTCCAATTGTAAAACTGTTCGTCAACAATTAGAGGTAAACATAGTTACTAATGAGAAGATATCATGAAGTCTGAATTGTCTGAAATTATAAAATGTTCGAATCTCACGAGGTGGAATCGTGGATGTGTAGTGCTGAGGAGTCCCAGTGCTTCCGAGTTTTTCATGGTGGCTTAGCTACAATTGACTAATGCTTTCAACTATGAAAATACTAAATCTCCACAAAAACCCTGCTGATAATTAATGAAACATTTAAATTTATGGATTGTATATTACTTGTGGGAACTGTACCTTACCTTAAACCTAACCTGGTCACATTAGTTGTGTTATCCGACATGGTGGATTTCACATGGTTTTCTTGATTACCCTTATTTACTCTTACAATCTATGTGTCTAGTTGACCCCCCCTCCTTATTTCTATATATAAATGTTCTTAACTAGTGTATGTGTGATCAGATTGTTCAAAATGTATTGCATCCATATATCAACACAGTTCTCATAATCTTCATCTTCTTATTACAGTAGTCAACTTTATCAAATAGACTAACCGCTTTAAATACTTATGAATGTTGTCACAGATTAAACTCTCTTTTGATGCTATGGACTGAATTTCCTTGGAGCCAAATAACTTTGAAAATACTGATATTATCTATCAGACTAATCAATATTGTTATATCTTGTGCGTGAGTTCCCAGTTAATATATGACGTGATAATTCCCGCCAATCAGAGAGGAGTGATTTGTCTATCGGATCAATAATACACGAAAACCCGTCAAGCAGTCTAGAGCATTAGTTGGTCTTGCTATCTGCCTAGCAAAGCCAGTTACGTCCAGAACATCAATAACAGTCTCTGCAATATGAATCATTATATTTCAAACATACTGAGTTTTGCATATCAAACAAACTGACCACATTGTACCATAAAACAAAAATAACATAAGATTCAGCCAAATGTGGCTGTGAATAGGGAGAATAGTAAGTAATAGACTGGGTATAACTCGGGAATGGTAAATCGTATAACAACAATCTATGGGTCAAAATAAAGCTTACAATAAGAGGGACACGAATGTGAATAATTGAGTTAATTAACAATTATACAATAGGTAATACACATATCATATTAGTCCATAAATAGTCTTCAAAAGTTACCATTCATAATCCTGTTCAAGATATAACAATTATATTCATATCTTAATCATAAAGTGCTTGGTTTTCACGTCAATCATTATCTATTTAATGAAAAGTCTACATCTAAAATATGGTAATTAAATCAATAGCATAGATTTGATCCCACTAACCTTTTAAACGTTCAACAGATCATAACACCTATCCATATAATCGATCAATGTTTCGTAATGGACAAATTCTTTTATAACATTATTCAACTATTGATTTCGATATCAGTAGCATTATGAAACTTAACACAAAATAAATGAGTCCTATTGTAAAACATAGTTAGGGAGGAGAATTTTAAAGGGAAGAAAAACGATAAAAACAGGAAAAAGAAAAAAACAAAAACAAAAACAAAATGACAACAATGAATGATCAATAGAGTTTTCAAGAAGTAATTTCATTATCATTTCAATAATCATAGCCAATTGTCAGTTTCCATGATAACATGTTTACACATATGAATTTCCCCCTTTAATATCAGTTTTACGATATAATAAAATAGTAATCATGATATATATCCCTTTTAATATTGCAAAAATAAAGCATAGATACATTAATGTAATGATATATTGTTGCATATATTCAGTAATTGCTCGAACACAACCCTAGTTACCATAAGAAGAAAAAGAAGAGAAAAAAAAGGGATAAAATAAATAAATCAATTTTATGAAGCTCAATTGAAATGTTTAGCAAATTGATTATCTAACTAAAGGGGGGTTTGTGAATATTTTAGTAATTTTTTATAGAGTTGAAATCATTAGTCAATTGAAGGTAGAACATCATGGAAAACCTGGAAGCACTGGACGGTTATTTCCTCTTATTGTGGGACTCACTAGTGACTAGCTTCAAGAGGTATTACCTGGAGTTCTAATGAGAAGCTGTGATCAGTTGTGAGATAGTAACTCACTTAAGATATTAACACAATCGGATGCTGGCTCAGTGGTCTAGTGGTTAGGCGCTCGCGCGCGAGACTGATAGGTCCTGGGTTCGAATCTCGCAAGGCGGGATTGTGGATGCGCACTACTGAGGAGTCCCACAATAGGACAAATGACCGTCCAGTGTTACCAGATTTTCCATGGTAGTCTAGCTTCAATTGACTCATGATTTCAACTATATAAGAAAAGATTATCTATCTATTTGATATGCTTGATGGTACTACGAGTTCATTTTAGTTGGAAAATGAAACGAAGGTCAATGATATAGTGATGGGATAGGCTATGCTTATCCGTTTCGCTCTACCCTGCTAACTAGATCATGAAGTCTTGATAAGGCGTACAGAATTTATTTTACAAGCACTCAGAAAGTACGAGGTCACTAAGCAAATAAACCAAGTTTATTTATACAATGATTGAAGCGCTTTTGCGAATGCCACAAAATAGAGTACTAAGAAAAATCCATCAAACAATAACAGTTAAGGATTTCCTAGTGGGAAATGTAAGTTGTAGGTCAACTAAGTGTTTCTTCGCGCGAAAATATAAAATTGAAATTATCAGAATAAATTTACAAATTAGGACCTTTTCCAGCAGAGTTCTGAGGATCTAACGTCCTCAACACTATTCTTATATAATTAATAATTGTAGCATTCAAATCCTTCTGAATAATTTTCAACCCATACTACCTTAAAATAATCAGTCTGTTGTAGTAATTTTTATTATAATAACTATTCAGTCTTGTAGATTGTATCTTCTTTCAAGAGTTGTGTTCTATGGGATGAATGGTTTGCATGTGAAGCTCTGTTGTCCATCTTAACAACACAGTCAGTCCATATTAAATAGAGAAGATTGTATCTTTCATCAGTATCATGTGTGTGTTGGTCCGTATGTTTCTATATATGATACATATTCTTATCTCACTATAAAAATGAGTCTGTTGTTTTCAGCGATAGAAACCAAAGTTCAGTTTGATTATTTATTAGTATACTGTTCGTATGCTTGTTCGTATTTAGATGGTGAAAGGCGAATGTCCAGCGCTTCAACCGCGTTTGTGGACACGGAAAGTTCACCCATGGCAGTTAGAAAACCCAGATTCCTAACCAATGGTACGCATAGGCTCCAGTATCCTAAGGGAACAAATGGTGTATGAATCAATCGTTGATCACCGGCTACCATGTTTCTTTTATTATCACAAAGTTAACTCTCACAAAATCATCCATTACTAGACATGGTTTACACCGTTCAGCTGGACTCCGATTATTCATTGTTTATACTAAGGTCAATCATTGCCTAATCATCATGAATATTTAACTACGTGAGTTATTGCTTAACATTAGACTTGAAGGACTTTATGACTCCCAAATTCTGAAAAGTTATCTCATTATCATGTCACTTTAGCAGGTATATCCAGCTGACGAGTCTCAAATGGGACGAAACGCCCGTCCTGGATTCTACTGCTAGCAACTATCCATCTTTGCTTACCATGCTTGTGAATTTAGAATTTAGCCATTAGTTTAAAATAAAAAGCAGTGTTGTGTAGAATATAATTAAGAAGGTATAATAGTTGAGTAATACATTTCATCCAAATAGCTTTCCACTTCGGAAATCTATCGGTAGATCAAAATGGTTACTGAGACACAAAGTTAAGTATACAAACTCAGGGTAATTGATTATTCATAAAGTCCAATTACAAAATAGAAAGACAAGTAGTAACCAAACTCGGGACACTTTCGAGGGGATATATGATGATGATGATGATGATGATGATGATGATGATGATGATGATGATGATGATGATGATGATGATGATGATGATGATGATGATGATGATGATGATGATGATGATGATGATGATGATGATGATTTGGATGATGATTTGGATGATTTGGATGATGATGATGATGATGATGATGATGATGATTTGGATGATGATTTGGATGATTTGGATGATGATGATGATGATGATGATTTGGATGATGTTGATGAATGAGTACAAGATCCATAGTTTCCCAATTCTAATAAATAACAAACCAATATTCAACTTACATATCCATATGATGTAGGTTTACATGAATTCGGTATAGGAAAACGCAGTGTTCTATAATTAATAAACGATGATGCACCACAACAACCAAGCTATAAATCAATATTTTGAAAGTTTCAATCTAATCCAATGGAATAGATCAACTTACACTAATTTGTAAATTATTGTATTCATTCTTTATTTCATAATTTTTATGATACTGTACTATAGATTCGTGTAATGAAGTATTGACATTGACAAAAAACTGTAATATAAGAAATTAGAAATCAGATTTTTATTCTTCTCCTTCATTGATCTCAATACTAACCTGATCTTTTGATACAGCTGACATAATACCTGTACTGAATTCAATTAACGCGGCTATAATTAACCCACCAATATGCTTAACAATTAATAATGAAATAAGTATTACTTACAAGTAATATAATAAATTGTTTCTTTTGAAATAATCCAATAAATCCTATAAGAGAAGCAATTGAACCAATTGTCCCAGTAGTTATCACAATTGGAATGATCATCGGTTTAGCACCATGTAAAATAATATGAAATTTAGATAAGTAATTCAATTCTATAATACCTAATGATAAGAGTACAATACTGGATACCTTTAAAATTTAATTTAATCAATAAAATACAAACTTACAATAAATATGAGATTTGATAGAATGATTATAGATTTCCAATATTTTTCTAAATATGATAATATCATCATTGTTAATGATGAAATGAATGATCCCTGTTTATTAGATTTATGATCCTTGTTTATTGGATTTATGATCCCTGTTTGTTGGATTTATGATCCCTGTTTATTGGATTTATGATCCTTGTTTATTGGATTTATGATCCCTGTTTATTGGATTTATGATCGTTGTTTGTTCTACGTGTGATTGAAATGATCTTGTTGCTAGGTATTCTATATATGTATGTTATAACAGTTTATATATTATTACTTTATATTGAGTCATATAAGTAATATCAGTATTATTGAAAGTGTATGTTCAATAATCTATATCTATATCTATAATACACACTATGTAAATGCTTTTAATTTATCATTTATCTAATTATAGTATGGTAACTTTACTTAAAGTTACCCCATGGTAACAAAAACTGGTAAACGAGTGACATACAGTTTTTTTTTCTATTATTGATTACTTAACAACAACAAAAAAACACATGACACTTTGTATTGTATGCACATTCTATATATGAAGAATGTATTTTATACCTAACTGTCAGCGATATGATTGATTGACATTATAACGATTCAGTAAACAGATCATAACAGTGTGGATTATTATTGTCAGAAAGGGGTTTTTTGAGGTTATATTATAGTAGTTTTAGTAGTTGAGATCATGAATCAATTGAAGCTAGATCAGTATGGAAAACCTGAAAGCACTGGATAGTTGTTTTGTCCTATTGTGGGACTCCTCAGCAGCGCGTATCCATGATCCCTCCCTCGTGAGATTCGAACTCAAGATCTATCAGTCATGCGTGCGATCGCTTAACTTCTAGACCACTGAGTCAACATCCAACAGTGTTAATGTCTAACTTCATATCATATAAATAAATGAATGAATAATTTTTAAAGTACATATTACTGTTATGTTTTTCAAATCCCTTTGGACCCTAGAAACTAATTAATATGAGAATATTTAAAAGGGTAATCTTATCGTTTATGAAACATCATAAACAAATCATTCATGTTACTATGCTCATCATGTGAGAAAACGTGTTGTCCAAATTAGAACCCGGGGCTTATAACAGATATCCACAATGATAATGAGAGGGAATAGTTTTATTTATTCTCCGAAAAAAGTGTTCATGTTTTCTGTACTATACTGATGTGAACAGAGAAACAAGAAACCTTAACAAACTACGGAAACTATTTTGGGGGATGTTATTTCATTGAATTCAAAGCTTGTATAACAGTAACATTTACTTTTGCCCCTAGTCTATTCTACAGGTCATGAGCTTTCGTTTGATGTATGATTCACTGGCATAGCATTTTCTGTCCCAGAGCTATTGTAATTTAAACGTAACGTTTTGCACTCTATTTTCTACTCTAATGCCCCCCAGTTTTGGACATAATTGTATTTTCCTAATTCTTGTACGTTGTGGTCAGGTTAGTCATGTATCTTTTTATACTAATCTGGAATTCGGGTATCAGATCGGATTTTGGAATAAAGCGAATAGTGTTCAAGTTGTGTTGTCTTTTCTCTCGCGCGTGTGCTTGTCAGCCAATCAGGGATAGAATAGGTTTCGTCTCTCTATCAGCTTTTCGAAATAATGCATACTAGCCTCAACGTTAAGCCAGTTAAACTATCGCGTCAAGGTCTTAATCTATATTAGACAAGTTATCCTCAGCAAGAAAGTGGGTAGACAGATCAAGGACGCAACATGTACAATATATTGTATCATAGTATTTTAAAATGTTCTAATCAAAAGTTGTAGGGCGATAGGTAATTCCCTCAAAATAGTTAACTTCGTGGGTATTCGACGTTGATCGTCAGAATTTCGATTTTACTGAGCGAATCACTAGTTGAAGAAACTCGGTCAAATAACTGTACCACATTACGTTTCAACTCGTCATGGAATGAATCGCCCCTAATACATATACAGCTTATAAGCCACACTCTATGTTACTTCACGATACAAAGGAATCAATTCCTCTACTGACCACCATAACTCTTTAATCAAATTGATTCTTGGATCATTTTAGTAATAAAGAGATGAGCACTACTGTCACCAAATTCTTCCGTCTACAAAATATCTTCAATTGTTTTAAATATCATGTTAAGGTTTTGGATTTAAATCGTCTTATCAGTTTGTTGCAGAATTTATCACAAAGTGAGGATCCTCATTATTTACTGACACATTACAATATGTTCTCAATGATAAACTAGGAATTAGAGGATATCATAGACGCATAATGCATAGTACTAAGAAGACAACTAATGATAATAAATACATATCACATTCCTATAAATATATCACATTTGAGATGGTGGAGAAGATTTATAGCTGAGGTGGGTGATTTGGATGTAGGTTTGTTCTCTGAGCTGCATGATTTAGTCGTGGAGCTTTCATTGTCCTTCTGAACGACATCATCAGCACAAATTTCGGGTAGAAGTGAAGTGTTTAAATTTCTCGACATGTGATTCACAGCTTGTCCTGTACACCTCGATGTTGATTGGTTCTTATTGACCTTAAATCTGTCATTATTTCTGTCTTACTTTTGGTTGTACTAATGATATTGTTTGTCCTATTTATTGGTTTATATGGGTCTGTACTTTAACCGTCCAGAATGGGAGTCATCTACAAGTGTGTGTTAACTTTAAGGCTATCGAATCGTTTAGTTAATGAGGGATGAGTTTACGATCATTTTAGGCAGGATTCGTCGATAATTACTCAAACTATGGGACGTTATCACATCTTATAATTTGAAAGTATCAGCCTATTAACTAGACATACTTTTTAATTATTTGCGTGGGATAGAACGAACTAATTTTGAATATGGTCGGATTGAAATGCAATGACTATGGATATTTATAATGCACATTTGAATCATGTCCACCTCTTCTATGTTTATGGATTAAGCAACATGTACTTGAGTCGCAGCTCAAAAGTCTACAATTTAAGCGTTTATATACTAGACCGACGGCTCTAGATTCGTTTCCTGTATACAGGATCGTATGTCCCCACTACTGATGTGTCCCATAGAAGGGCAAAACGACTATACAGTGCTTCCACGTTTTCAATGATTGTCTAACTTTGATTAGTTCATGATTTCAATGATATTAATATTTGAACGAAGAATATTCTTTTTGATCAATTCTCTTCAGGTTCTACAACGCCGGTGAACTACGTTTGGTGTTTTCTATGTGCCCAATGGTGACACCGAGGCTTCGAGATGAATTACCTAGAATAACAACCTCATTTTGTATTTATCACTTCGACTGCTCCTGTGGAACAAGTTATATTGGTCGAAGTACCAGGAATCTACATTTTCGTGCTCGCGAACACCTCCCAGTTTGGCTAAGCGAAGGTTTAGTGAAGAAAATAAACAGCTCGATATTGGCCTATTTATTACAAACTGGTCATAGTGCCAGTATTGAACCAATCCTTTTCAATCATTTTCAAGATCAGTAATTATTTGCTGAAGCTTGTCAGGCTTAAAGTCCTTCAAACGTCTAAGGCAGTAGCCATCAGAATGAAGAAACCTGAGCTATGCTTACAGAAGAAATATCTCCAATCCCTGCTCCTCCCTTGACCAACCACAAGGCCAATGAATCAATAATAGTCTTAGTTATTGGATGATCTGATTTGACTATTGTACTTAAGACCTTTCGTAATCAAATGTTATTGCCTCTTTTCTCTTTATTCACAAAACTTTGTATTATTATTATTATTGGTTAAATATCATTATTAATCTCCTCTGTACATGATTCATTCACTTCACATAGATTCCTCCTCATTACGTCTTACTAATTTTTCACACAATTTAATCTTCCACTTGATCGAATTGTAATTGCACTATCATAGCTTTCTCTCACCCTATCTGACCCATATTTACTGTGATCATGGATCTAAAATTTTTACTTATATACAGATTCAGGTTAACATTCTATATGAGTCATAGCAACAGTAACAACTTTATTCTATTTTATATATAGTTGAAATCATGAGTCAATTGAAGCTACACCACCATGGAAAAACTGGAAGCACTGGACAGCCGCTTCGTCTTATTGTGAGACTCTTCAGCAGTGCGTATCCACGATCCCACACTTTCGAGATTCGAACCCAGGACCTAACAGTCTCGCGCCAGGGCACTTAACCGATAGACCACTGAACCGGCATCCAACGGTGTTATTGTCTAAATTCAACCAATCCACGAACTTGGCCAACAACGCCAGAGCAGTTAACCGATAGACCACTGAGCGCGAGACTTGTACGTCCTGGGTTCGAGTCTCGTGAAGCGAGGTCGTGGATGTGCATTTTTTCGAAGTCCCACAATAGGACGAAACGTCCGTCCAGTGCTTCCAGGTTTCCGGTGATGGTCTAGCTACAATTGACTCATGATTTTAACTATGAAAATACTAAATCTCCACAAGAAACCCCTCTGATAATAATATTTGAGTATGTAATCTTGTTTAGAAATCGATTGAAAAACAAAAAATATAAATCAATAAGAGACATACTAATTAATAATTTTGTTAGTAGTATAAATTATTTTTCAACAAAATTACCCCTTCTGATCAAAAATACAAATAACACACATAGATGAAGGGGGGGGGGTAAGTTAACATTAGGGGAAAAAAAGTGAAATGAAATAGCATATTGATGGGTTATATTATATCCTCATTAATTAGTTCAATAATTAATTAATTTTTGTATTACACAAATTAGTCAATATATGAAGTATGTAGTTCAGATTTAGCTACATCAACCAACATCTACATCATTTGGGTCCGGCGCCCCCCTCCCGAAAAACAGATTTATGCAGATATATTATTCTTATCAGATTTACGATATAGAAGAATAGAAGTGGCCAAATAGATAGCTTTAACGATAGCGAATGTAATGCATATATATATTATTATCATGATACAATGTTGGATATATTCATATAGGGCTTCAGCACAACCCTGTCAAAGATAAGAAAATTTAATAAGTTAGTTAGATATAGAAAGACACTTCAAAATTAATCACATTAGGACACTAAAACTGATGCAACATATGAAGAATAGCATATGACTATTTATCAGAGCTTACTGTAGAAATGTGGTGTAGTGGTTTGGCTGTTTAAAGTGTCCAACAGTCAACCAGTAAGGTTATGGGTTCGAACTCAGCATTCATTTACTTCAGTCCAATCAGTAGATTGGTATCATAAGCTTTAAGAAACTTAGAAACGATTTTAGTTTATTGATCAAACTGCACAATTAATCAGTAAAATTTAGTCAATATTAGGAATTCCATAGTACATGCACTGGTATTTGATTGAAGTGTACACATTATATACAACTATTGAAACGATAGTTTAGTGAGATTGTTTAGTTGCTTTGCATTCTTTAAGCATGTTGATTGTCATTCTAAACAAAATCATTGATTGTAAGCAAAGATGGATAATGGCTAGAAGTAGAATCCAGTTGGATGAGCGTTTTGTCCTATTTGGGACTCATCAGCTGGATGTACCTGCATCTCGGAGTTGATGTTCACTCTGGCACTCGAACTCAGTACAGTTTGCTTTAAACTCCATCGCGTTATCTACTGAGTCGTGATAGCCACTTGCTTTTGCAATGGGGTGAAGTTTAAGTCCACTAAGTGTTGCTAGTTTGAACTTTCCCATTAATGTTTTAACACTGCTACTGGTCAGTCTCCCTGACGAGTCCCAAATAGGACGAAACGCGCGTCAAACTGGATTCCACTGCTAGCTACTATCCATCTTTGTTTACACATTGCGAACAAGCCCTAAATGAGATAAAACTGACAATTCAAATTTTACTGCTGACGATAAACTATTCGTTCTATATAACATGCCATATGATAGCTATATTGTAACAAACAGCACATGATACACATATACTAGCTAAGATTGATTGAAATTCAGCTCAGATTCTTACAAGTAACGAAATATACATTTCAAATTATAAAATAGTTGAATTCAGCTGAATATTGACTTACTTTTGAATGAATTGAATTGCCTGTTTTGCAAGAAATTGGTAGGGCAATTATCGTTCTTTTATAATCTGTATATGATTTAACACCACAACAATCAAACTAAAGAAGAACATTAGGGCAATGATGAAAACAATGATTAGTATAGTTTACTTAGAATGACTTACCTCTCTTTGTAGATTATCCATTTGATTTTCATAATTTGGATGTTTTTCATAATATTGAATAGAATTCCATAATGATTGATTAGCTACTTTGAAGAACTAAAATTTGGTGATTGATATTTGTTATTACATGATATAGGGGTTGTTTGTGATATATATAGTTGAAATCATGAGTTAATTGAAGCTAGACCATCATGGAAAACCTGGAAGCACTGGATGGCCGTTTCGTCCTATTGTGGGACACCTCAGCAGTGCACATCCAAGATCCCGCCTCGCAAGCAAGATTCGAACCTAGAACTGCTGAGGAGTCCCGAAGTTTGTGCTGATAATGTCGTTCAGAAGGACAATGAAAGCTCCACGACCAAACCATCCAGTTCAGAGAACAAACCTACATCAAAACGTCCCACAATAAGATGAAACGGCCGTCCAGTGCTTCCAGGTCTTCGATGATAGTCTAACTTCAATGAACTCATGATTTCAACTATATTAATCATTATAAAAAACTAACCTGATTTTTCCGTAAATTTGATCTTATAGATATAGAGATTTCAATAAGTGTTGCAATAGTCAAACCGACAATGTGCTAATCATTAGATATGAATCAATATATATAGAGAGAAAGAGAGATTACCACCAAAATAAAAACAGTCTTCTTTTTCCATAATCCAATGAAACCTATAAAAACACTCAATAGTCCAAGAATCGCTGTAAAGATGACAACTGGAAAGATCACTGGTTTAAAATAATCTAAAATTATATTGTAATTAGCTAAGACATCTAATGTTCTAATAGGTAATGCCAATAAAGCTACATCGAATACCTGGATGAACAATAAAAAAAGGAAAGTGATGTATTTATATATCATTGAAACAATACAATATACTACTTACAATGAATAGTAGATTGGATATAATAAAGATATTATTCCAATACTTTTGTAATTGTGATAGAAACATATTGTGTAATTGAGTTATTAATCACTTGGTAACTAATCCCTTAGTAACTACTTCTATTTGAAACTGGTAATATACAACATGGTGATAAAATGGTTTAACCAGTTATATTGTTTACTGGTTTTTTTGGTTTGTTTTTAATCATATTGAAAGGTAATTCATGCACATAACATGGATTGCTTTAATTAGTAGGTTATGGTGCTTATGTATTGTGTTACTATGCAAGTTTTCTATAGATCAATCAGATATTATTATAATAATAAAATAATATGGAACATTTTTGTTGTTGTCGTTGTTGCATGGATTATACGTATATTTCTTTTACTATCCTTGTTGCCATGACAATAATTGATACCATGTGAATAGTTAAAGTGATGTCAGCGAAAATAGATAAAAAACATTCCATGGTCTGGTATTTGTGTAATCATGAGTTATTAAATACCTACTGATTGATTTCATATTCATTACCATGTAACTTTGATATGAAAATGTTTGTGATTGATTTATGAATAGTCAATGATAGATGATGTAATTTGAACAGACTGATCAACTGGTTTTTGGAATTCTTTAACAGAGATCAATTCTTCTTGAGGTAGATGCAAATGATGCTGTTGATAATTGTTGGGGCGATCCTGAAAATAACTTGCAATAGATAAGTGACCTGTGGAGTTCAACCAAGACTGTTGTAGAGATATCAACTCACTGAAGACAACTGGTGAACGGTCGCTCAAACATCGTGGATTGGTTGAATTTAGACATTAACACCGTTGAATACCGGCCGGTTCAGTGGTGTATCTGTTGAGTGCTCTGGCGCGAGACTGGTAGGTCCTGGGTTCGAATCTCGCGAGTGCGGGATCGCGGATGCGCCGTGCTGAGGAGTCCCATAATAAGACGAAACGGTCGTACAGTGCTTCCAGGTTTTCAATGGTGCTTTAGCTTCAATCGGCTCATGACTTCGACTATGAAGATAAGAAAAACTCAGGAAACATCAAGAAGCATTTTATCCAATCAGTGATTGACTAGACGTTTCGCTAGAAACATCACGAAAATGAAAAGTTACATGTAGAGGTTCTGATTACCTGATTACTGCACTGCTATTATGATTAGTAGTATTCTAGAATTTTCAGGGAAACCCAAAAACTTCTAATATATCATAAAAATCCTATATTTTCTGTGCATAAAAGAACTTGTGGAGTAAAGTGTTTCTCGTATACTTTGCGCCTTTTCTCTCTAGTTCAAGTAGCTGTATAGTTCTAGCTTGGGGGTTGGGAAACTAACTTAGGACCCGAGTATAGCGTTCAATTAGCAAGACTTATCAATAACTGACAAAGGATATCATATGGGATCCCTGTTTGCTTGGATCCTAATGTTCAAAAATAAGTACAAATATTTAACTTTGTTTCAAATACTGAAGTCATGAATAACACGAATATTCTGTTTCTATGGCTAACCATTTTCAAACTGTAGGAAGATTGAAAGGAGAAGTGAGATCAAAATAGATCAACTTGTTTGTTAGTGTTTGTTTCTAAAACGCTTTATAGGCGTTTTGATTACGATTCTGAGCTAGGAATACATCAAACAATTTGCGGTGTCCAAAACATAACACCTTTCTACTGTCTGACTCATGGTTATCACTGTGAAATATGATTCCCTTTACCCAATGAATTTCTGCATACTTATGTTTATTGTGAATAGTAACAAGACCTATTTACAAACAGTGCACATAGAACTTACTGAAAGGAATAACTCATCATTAACTAACTAATCTCTTAAAATTTGTTCTTCATAACAAACAAAATAATGATTGAATTCACTTGATATTATTATCAGAAGGGGTTTTGTGGAGATTTCAGTATTTTCATAGTTGAAAGCGTGAGTAAATTGAAGCTAGACCACCAGGGAAAACCTGGAAGCACTGGTCAACCGTTTCGTCCTATTGCGAGACTCCTCAGCAGTGCGCATCGGCGACCTCGCCCCACGAGATTCGAACCAAGGACCTACCAGTCTCGCTCCAGTTCAGTGGTCTATCGGTTAGGTGCTCTGGCGCGAGACTAGTAGGTCCCGGGTTCGAATCTCACTTGATATTGTTTGCTTTCATCTTCCCATTGTTGTTTAGGACTACAATTGATCAATCCCTGTTGGCTTGTGACCTAAGACAATATCGAAGTAGTCTGCACAGGATGTACGTATCCCAACAAGAGACTGATCAGTTGCGTTCCTGAACAACAAAAAGAAGATACGAGGAAACAATACCAAGTGAATGTAAATTCCATTCCTTTGCAAAGGCATGTGACTATCTTTGCTTACAACGGTGATTGGATTATTTACTTTGGAATTCTGACGAATGGAATCACATCCGACAATAAATCTGTTAAGCGACCTGACTAAATCAATAATGACTATGATGAAGTAACACTAGATACGAATGCTTTTCTTGATTCAATTGAAACTTTGAATTTCTTTTTTAGTCATGTCATTTTTCTCATCTTGGGAGACAATAATGACCGGACTGAACTACTGACAAACCTTTATCGAATTAGTTAGTCTAGTGATACTACAATTTACGGATGACTTTTGATCGACGTTAAAGTGGCCTTGAGAATCTCCTCCTACTGGCTAGGGCTAAATGAAGGTTTTAAACCTATGTAAAGGGTTAGGATTGTGATTTAGAGTTGACGGTTAGGGATAGAGATTAAATTTATGGTTTTCATCACGGAATGACATCAGCTAAAATGCCAAGACACTATTTAGCAAAACGGATAAGGAATTTGGCGCCGAATTCCAAGACGTGTTCTCGTAAATCTGACTAGTTCGTCCATAAATTATAGTCTCTTCATCAGTCGTTACAAGAAAAGTACATATTTCCATAGAGGTAACAATATTTAATTTCATTTAGTATTGATTGTTTGAATCTTCCCATTGATGTTTAGGACTGCAACTGGTCCGTCTTTAATTGGCATATGTGCATACTGTGCTTATTGCCTCGGTATAGCCTTAATTCACAAGCATTGTAAGCAAAGATGGATAGTGGCTAGCAGTGGAATCCAGTTTGATGCGCGTTTCGTCCTATTTGGGACTCGTCAGTTGGATGTACCTGTATCTGAGAGTTGATGTCCACTCTGTGACTCGAACCCAGTACCTTTCGCCAACTAACAATTTGTCGAAGATATCTACCTTTAAACATAAAATGAACTTCGTCAGTATATAATAGACGTCATACTTTAGGTTGTGATGGCAAAATGGGAGAAAAGGAGAAACTTACTTAATATGAAGTCACAAAGGATATCAACAGCCTTAATCATAAGTCAATTTCTCATAGAGAGTTTACATAAAAACTGTGTATTATCTTTTCTGTAGTGGGGTAATATGATCAGGAAGATTCATAAATTCAAACGTACTTCAGAGAATATATAGGATTTGACCATGTTACCTCATATTTTATCAGAATGAGGTTTTTGTGGATTCTAGTAGATTTTAATAGTTGAATTCCTGAGTCGATCAAATTCAGATCGTCATGGAAAACCTGGAAGTAGTGAACAGTCGTTTTGTTTTAGTATGGGACTCCTCAGCAGTGCGCATACACGATCTCACTGACGAGATTTGAACTCAGGACCTTCGATTTCGCGCAACAGTTCTTTCATAGATGAACTGTACATAGATAATATTAGTCATAATGAATTATTAGATTACTAAGTTTTGAGGAATTCAGAAAAACTTAGTTTTATTACAATAAACTTTGAAGTAATGAAGTTTGTATTATGATCATAACATATTTCCCAGAAGGTTTTTATAGACTAGAGTTTATTTACCATGGTCAACTATTTGATACTTAAGTCATCTGATCAGATACTTACTATGAACCTGTAAACTTCTCAAATTGATAGATAAAAATTTAGATTTATCGTCACTTCTATAACTTCATTTGAACGTTCATCAGTTTGAGAATTACCGTATATGATGTGATATGAAAATGTTTTTGAAGCATTAAAGTGTTTAGTAGTTATAATAGTCCTTTGTCTCATCTGCGAACTGTGAGATCGATGAGCATTATCAAATGATTTCGACTTCTGTTAGTTCTGGTATTTTGAAGTAGACTGGAGAAAAAAGGATCCAATTTGACATAGACACTTTTGAATTTGAGAAAGGTATGAAGCACAGTTGGAGTAAAACACTTACTAATAAAATTAATCTCATGAACCATTTAAAGATGCTGCATTAATCAGTGGAGATGAATGTTTATAATGGCATCAAAAAATGTCACCATTGGATCGCTACCTAGAAATCAGTTATAAGCTCAATCTTAGAGCATCTAATCAATTCCGATCACTCCACCTCACCGGAAGTCGTTTTCAGTATTGTACATAGTCAGAAGAGTTGGCTTAATAGGAATGCAAGTGAAGAACTTATGTACGATAGAGGGCATTGCTAACCCCCAGTTTAAGTCAAACGCCTGAGTACAAAATAGTCTGTTGAGTCCCTCATTCTTTCATCACCCAAACCTCCCTTTCTATCCTCCATAACCTATCGTTTTGATTTACTTTATCATTACTACTTCTTTCCAACTGTTAGTTAGCGATCTTTACTACTCTTTATTATCTTGTGCTTAATAACTAGCAATTAGACAGTTACCTTCACTTCACGACTTTTCATCATCCAAGTGTTACATAACTTCCTTTCAAAAGCTGATTTTTAGCTCTTGACAACCTATCACTTCAAGATTTTAGGTTAATTAATAATTCCCTATCTTACTATAGAATACTAGTTGAGCAAATAAAATCGACTATAAATACAATTATACACCTTAAGTAGGTAAGTAGATAGCGGCTCAGTGGTCTATCGGTTAAGTGCTCTGGCTCGAGACTGGTAGGTGCTGGGTTCGAGTCTCGCGAGTGCGGGATCGTAGATGCGAACTGTTGAGGAGTCCCGTAATAGGACGAGACGGTCGTCCAGTGCTTCCAGGTTTTCTATGGTGGTCTAGCTTCAATCGACTCATGATCTCAACTCTATAAGATAAAAAATTGTCAGAAAGAGAATTTTGTCCACTAAATTGCTTTCCTTCTTCATCAGTAACACAAACAGTCTCTTTCATTAATATCCACTTGATTGAAAGTTACAAATACACTATTCTATCAATATTATTTGAAGTGTCTTAGCTTCAATACGAACGTCAAGACAGTCAGTTCTAAGGTGCAGAGCTGAAACGTGGAGAACTATTACAACCATCATCAGACACGTACAAGTATTTATAAGTAATTGTCTACACTAGATACTCAATTCCCGTTGACCGCATATCGTCAGCAACATTCTACTGTGGGAGCTAATGCATTATGTTTTGCATTTGTACTGTTAATAATTTTGAGTAAGAAAAACTTGTAGTGTCAGTTACTGTGTTAAGCTCCATATAACTTATTCTAGCATATAAACTGGCCGATTCATACATTCTTCTTGAGTCACATTTTGATCTTGTTCATTATTCGGTTATCTACCTTGACTGTGTTTTTATATGAGTGTATATATGTGTGAACACTTCTTATTCTATTCATCACATGTCGATAGCTTATTTTCATCGGATCACAAAGATTGATTATTGCTTGAATAAATCGAGTTGACTTACATACCTTCTCAACCACGAGTCATTTCACTTTACACTCTTCTCTTTGCTTCATTCTTATTCAGATTGGTGAGTGTACAATATATATATATGTATTCAAGCATTCATTCTCTTATTTGATTTGTTTAATTCCATTATTCACTAATGTGATTGAAGTTGATATTATCAGAAGGTGTTTTGTGGATATTATAGTAATTTTCATAGTTGAGATCATGAACCAATTAAAGCTAGATCACCATGCAAAAACCTGGAAGAATTGAACGGCCGTTTCGTCCCATTATGTGACTCCTCAGCAGTGCGTATCCACGGTCCCACCTCACGAGATTCAAACCCTGAACCTATCAATTTCGCGCACGAGCGCTTAACAACTAGACCATTGAGTCGGTATCCAATCAATCCACTAAATCGACCAACACATCCACCAATATCTTCAGCGACAATATATCTATTACAATAACATTCATACGATCTAATTGGAGTTAGATCCCACGGGGAGGCGGTCACTCAATTAAAACAAACACTTCTATAACAAAATAGATAATCATGTTCAATTTAGAAAAAAAGAGACACCAGTTAAATGATTGTTGTTTTAATTAATTCAATGAATAATGATAAACAAACAAACAAACATGGTGAATGTCAACAACATTCAAGAGTATATGGATCTTTTCCATTAGAAGATCTATGGATCATCCAAATTATAATCAATAAGTAAATACTTTTAATAATAGTAAATATAAAACATAATGCCAATATTGGATCTATATATTTATAGACGTGTCTATTCAATGCTTCAGTACAACCCTGTCAATTAGATAAAAAGAAAAGAAGAAAAGATAAAAGTAATCAAAATGGAATTTAAGTAGTATATTCTATATTAATGAATATATATACTAATGATTGACTATTGAATTAGAGTGATCAGGTTTCAAATTGTTTTCAGATGAACAGAAAGGGATTATGTGGAGATTTTAGTAAATTTATAGTTGAGACTGATAGGTTTTGGGTTCGAATCTCGCGAGTGCGGGATCGTGGATGTGCACCGCTGAGAAGTCCCCCAATAGGACGAAACGGCCGTCCAGTGCTTCCAGGTTTTCCATGGTGGTCTAGCTTCAACTGACTCATGGTCTCAGCTCTATCAAAATTAATCTCCCCAAAAATAAAAAGTAAATAAAGGAATGAAAGTGTTATGTAATGATTCTGCGTAAGTAGTGCAAAAACAGCTATCCCGCCCCTGTAGTTATGCCATTCTTCGATGTAGCACTCTTCTCCAGAAATGTATACTAGGCTACACCATGTTCCTATGGCTGTAAGGGGGTGGGGGATGGAGTTTATTCAAACTGTACACACTTTACCATAATCATAATCCAATAAAACTAATTTATTCAAACTTAAAGAATTGACTTACCATTGTATAAATAAATTTGTCATCTTTACAACTCACTGGTAAACTATTATTAGTTCTTCGATAATCTTTAAATAATAAACTTCCACAACATTTATACTACAAAAGAATGAAACGATCATTGTGAAAACAGTTGACCTACATTCTCTTGTAGTTGATTGAATTGTTCAGTATACACTGGATGTTGTTCATAATAATGCAATGAATTCTGTAATGAATTATTAGCCTTTATATAGAACTATTTAAGATCATAATAAGATGATAATGTTGAACAAACTTCATTGGGTGTCATTACTGTTCCCAAGGCTATGCATAATTCAGTTACTGTTGCTATGGACAAACTTATAATATGCTAAATAAAAGTATCAATACAAATAGGGATAAAGCTTATTTACTAGTATAGTAATAATTTGATTTTGTTTTAATAATTTACAATATCCTGTAATTGCAGATAGAATACCAATCAATCCGGTAAATATAATCACTGGTATTATAGATGGTCTTATTCTTTGTAAAATTTCATTGAATTGTGATAAATCATCTTGTACTTTAATACTTAATCCACATAATACTATACTATATACCTAGATACATTATCAATTATCAATTAGAGTATGATTAGTTACCAAGATTGTACCATTTAATATGATGAATAGTCTATTCCATCCTTGTTCATTCAATGATAACTTCATATTGATTCAATGAGATAAGATTGACACGAACGATGATGATGATGATGATGATGATAGAGAGTGCTTAGTAACTTCGATTTATAATGTTTGAAATGATAACATTTATGGATGGAGAATGGTGTTGGGGGCGGCCTATACTCCTTCACGAGAGGTAGCATGTGTAAGTAAGTAAGTAAGTAAGTAAGTACTTATGCACATATTTATTGTCAAATCAAATAATCACTAAGATACTATACATATATATACACTTGACATATATTAGCGTAAAAGTATCTAACTATCAATTAGAAATAACTTAAGGGGTAAACAGAAAGCAAGACTGTTTTAGTTGTAATGTGCATATGTTACTATCTCTATGTGTCTAACAAGAACAAGCATTGTTGTGTTTTTTTCACTTTTTGAAATCTGTCAAGTTGTTAAAATGAATACGTATCAGATAGTAATTATTGCATATAGAAGAAAATTTATATGATAGTAGGTTTAGACTGAACTCCGCCTGTAGCTCTTCTAGAGTCACTGCCGGTCTCAAGCCCGGGTAAAGGAGGAGGGTTTGGCATGAGGTAAGCGAACCCATCATGTAGAAAAAACTAACTCGCTAAAAAAAACGCTAACCAGAAAAAAATAATGCAAACCATTTCAAGTAGGTAATGACTGTTGTACTGTACGGAGCTGAAATGCGGAGAACTACTACAATCATTAATAAAAATATACTGTAGTATAGTCTACTTATATCCACATAAGTAGTATATGGTGATGATCAGACGTAGATTGCATTTTTGGCAGAAGATCGATAAGGAAAGAATAACAATGAAACGCAATCGGTATGAAAATGCATGAACAATGAAATAAGAGAAGTTGGATTAATATTTGCATCTGCAAATTAACTGTTTACTGTATGGTTATCAGAATTTAGTGAGATAGTCTGTAATTTGTGTCCAAAGACATTCGATTGTCCCCACTAGTGTTATCGCTCACAAAGGTACAAGTATTTGTAAATAAATGTCTACGTAAGATACTCAACATCCGTTGATTGGATACTAATAGCAACAACCTACTGTAATTGAGAACAAACCGACTTCCGTCTGATTCGGAAATTAGGGAAAGGTGTTGGAAGTGGTGCTAAATACACTACGGGAATCATCAACCTGTATCTTGAAACAAGGACCAATTTGGAATTCTGAAAAGAAACAGAAAAGTGGAGGACCAAAGAATTCACTGCGTGCGAAATTGAAAGAAGTCATCAAAAGGATGAATAGAACCTGGATCATCCAGGACAGTGTTGAATGGAGAATGCTGTCGTTAGGTCCTCCACGAGGGTTAACAGGTATAGCTAAGTAAGTAAGGTTTCTACACCTGGATTCAGTAACTGAATGGAAGACCCTTTAAGGGTCTGTAGCGACTTGCATTAAGTCTGAGCCCTGGGTTAAACGTCAACACTTGGATACCAGTACATCCAGCTGACGTGTCAGAATATTGGTTTTCTTACCGTTATTGGCTAGTCAACACCAAAGTTATCGTTTCATTGTTCAGAAATGCAACTTAAGTATCCACAATTCTGCAGTTAAAGAACGCTTAGGTGTGAACAACCAACTTATCATATGATACAAAATTACAGGATGTCTTCATAAAATATAAGAACCATACATTAAGTACTTTGATTGCAAATCTTCCATCAATTGTTTTTGATAGAGTTTTGTTCTCTGAGCTGAATGGTTTGGTCGTGGAGCTTTCACCGTTCTTTCGAACAACGTCATCAACACAAACTTTCGGTAGATTTAAGGTGGTCAAATATCTCCACATATGAATCAAAGCTTGTTCTGTCGGAAGGATAAAATCATCCACTTCAGCTACAAATCTTCTCCGCCATCTCAAAATCATATGAGCGTAGTTCCATCAATTTTCGTTATCATTAGGTATGCTTCTTCCAATTCAGTATTTCTTTCTATTTCCCTTTCTGTTTTCTTCAACTCGATCTTCTTAGCCTTCTGCTGCCAGTTTCTCCACTTCTGATTATTGTTACATACTGTTTATGTCTGTTGACAGAAGTTGTATACACTACATCTCTAACTGTAAGTTAGATTGGCATGTATGTGTGAAATCAATACAGAAATCAGAATACAACATAATAGTTTTTTCGGAAATTCCACCTTGTCACGTTTTAGCGTCACAAGACAAGCCCTCACATGGAATCCAAGAGGCCAAAGGAGAAGAGGAAAACCAAAGAACAAATTACGTCGAGAAATATAGACAGACATGAGAAGAATGAACAAAAAATGGATAGAACTAGAAAGGAAGGCCCAGGACAGAGTGGGTTGGAGAAAGCTGGTCGGTGGCCTAAGCTTCATTGGAAGTAACAGGCGTAACTACCAACTACTAATACTACTACGTTTTAGCGTCTAAAATTGAAATGGATCATTTAAGCATTGCAAACTAATTTGCCCCCCAATATTCCAGACAACAGATTGAAATCATTCAGCTTCATAATTTTGAATATAAACTTTTGACACTTGAAAGCAATTATTCCTTTTCTATTAATTTTGATATAACAATAGAAGATGATTTTTTTTTCTGGTTAGCCTTTTTTAGCGAGTTGACTTTCTACGGGATGGGGTCGCTAACCCCATCCCTAACCCTCCTCCTTTATTTGGGTTGGGAACCGGCAGTAGCCACCGGCGGAGCTACAGGCGGAGTCAACAGCCTTTTCTCCATTGGGAGTAACAAGCGTAAGTAAGCAAGTAATAAAAGATGGAATTAAGCTGTGTAATGTGATACATTTGCTTTGCATATATTTCGAATTATCTAATCACACATATTCTTCTCAAAGCACTTATAGAAACCAACGAAAATCAACTAAGTAAAAGGCTAAATAAACATGACTTGATAATTTTAAGTAAAGAAAAAAAAAAGATACTAATACGCAAAGAGAAGAATAGGAAACTGTCACACCAACAATCACCGGGATATATGAAAGGCTACGACAAACCTTATCTCTACAGATAACACAGGCCTTGAATTCGCTGATAGGTTAAGTGATCGCATACAAGGCCGAAAGTCCTGGGTTTAAGTCTCGCGTGCGGGATTGTAGATGGCTAATAGGAAAAATAGGCCATGTGGTTTCTTCAGGTTTTCAGTAATCGCCTAGCCTAAGTCAATTCCTAATTTCAAATGTAAAAATGCTACAATCTCTGAAAATCCTCATACTGATAACAATAATAGCTGCTCAAGAAGTAAAGTTGAAAGGTAATTTCTGATAGTTAATTGTAATTATTCATGGCGGCAGTTCTTCTGTTTAATATCCTTTCTGCCCATTCTCGCCAGCTAAGATTCACTTAAAACAAAGGACACTGGTCTTTACATGATCAAACTGCACCAAAATTTGAGAATGTACTCAATAGGATAGAATTGTGACACGAGCATACACCTCCTTGAAAAATAAGTATACGAGAGATAGTGATTGGAAAAGAAGACAATTTTCGAATTCTTTTGGAAATAAACGTCTTCACTTCCCATTGATAAATTTCTGATGCAAAATGTTGTTATCTAATGAATAAATATTGTTTATATTCACTTAGTATTATTTGTTTGAATCTTGCCATTGATGCTTAGGACTGCAACTGGTCAGTCTCTTATTGGCCATATGTGCATACTGTGCGTATTGTCTCAATATTGCCTTAATTCACAAGCACAAGCAAGTGACTATTAGGACTCAGTAGCTGATTGGATAATGCTATGGCGTTTGAAACGAAAGGTACTGGGTTCGGGTTCCAAAGTGCACATCAACTCTGAATTGCAGGTACATTCAGCTGACGAGTCCCAAATAGGACGAGATGAGCTTCCTGGATTCCACTGCTAGCCACTATCCATCTTTGCTTATAAATCTTGTTTCTATTTGGAGTACTGATGTATGAAGTAGTGCTCCGGCGAAAAACAACAAACAACTCAATAATGATTCATCAATATGATAGTTTATGCGGAATTTTCTATTAAATTTGAAGTAGTGATGTAGATTTGGTGCTCATAATGATGACTTCTATGAGACTAAAATTTTTGAGTTAAATCGTTTGGTTCTGACGTGTTCATTGTCTTTTTAGACAGTTATCAGGTTACGTAATAAAATATCATTGCAAAAGTTTGATAGATTGTTCTCCTGACGATGTATCTAATTGATTTTTGCTGAGTATTGTGCTATTTCTATTTATACATCAACTGTCTCTATCATTCCTAGTCTCTCTCTTGATCTCATATTGGTTCATTAACATTTATACTCAGACTGTGACAACTTAATTTCTAACAACAAACAATCGAATTTGTTGTCAACAAAATGAACTAGTTGAAAGCATCAGTCAATTGAAGCTACAAAACCAAAGAAAACCTGGAAGCACTGGACGGCCGTTTCGTCCTGGTAGATCCTGGGTTTGAATCTCTCGAGGCGAGATCGTAGATGCGCATTGCTGGGGAGTCGAACAATAAGACAAAACGGTCGTCCAGTGCTTCCAGGTTTCCCTTGGTGGTCTAGCTTCAATTGACTCATGCTTTCAACTATGAAAATACTGAAATCTCCACAAAACCCCTTCTGAACAAAATGAACTGCTAGTTAACTTTTTGAAAACGTATACTACTGATAAGATTGCTAAGAAAGTCGATGAAAATGCTATCATTCACATACGTTTTAACTTCATATCGATATATATTCTTCCTTACAGTAACATTTTCATACAATTCTAAATTCTCTTGGTGATAAGTCATCTAATTGAACAATAGATTTGGTTTACTAAGCTCTTTAGTAACTCCCAGGTTTAATCTACACAGCAACCTGAACATGAGAGAAAATGAGTGAAATATGGAGGAACTGATTTACTGTCAAAACCGTTCATGTGTAGAAAATTTAAGGTTTTATGGAATTTTAGACAGCTTTTGGTTTTCGAAAAATTCTGGAACGTCGCTGAACACAGTAGCAGTATAAAATGGTGGTTGGAGTTGGTCAACAGGAAACCTTGCACCTGGGTTTCATGCTACTTAGCATCCATCAGCAAGGTGTACCTGTAGCAGTATAGATAATCATCCAATCAAAAACTCGACATGTGATTTTTCACTTTCTAGATGTTTCTGGAGAAACTTCAATTGAATGCTGATTGGGTAAGATGTTCCTCATGGTCTTCAAAGAATTTTTTTGGCTTTTTTCCAACGAAATTTCTTGATTTCTTTAACACATT